GCGGTTTCCCACTACGGTCATGTAGCCTTGTAAACTCGACCACAAGTAAGCCTATTAGAGGAAGATGTTGGATGATTCTTATGAACGTAAATCACAAAGTCACACTAAATTCTGATAGATGGTAGCTGGATAAATCTGCAAATTATTACGATTGCATACGCAAAGGCATTCGCACATGACGACAATTTTCTAACAAATCGAAAAGCCATAACAATATTTCCCATGCTTGTCTAACAGTCATGCTAAATATAAAAATATCAACTATGAGTTTGTTCTTCTTGGCCTTAGCTTAAAGCACCATTTTCGAGAACAACATTTTCTATTTATCTAGCTAGAGAAAATTGGCCTTCTGGAACAATTATCATTATCATCATCAAATCACCATTACCAACATGGTTAACAATTAGGCCTAATAACAGGCATAGCGTGCGTAGAGATTTGATTGAATATGAGATGAAGAGCTACACTCAACAATCATTATAGTTTTCACGTTTATATATTGTTTAATTGTCGATTGAACTTGTTTTTCGAAATAAAAGTTATCATTATTAACGTTTCAAAATTACAAGATTCAGTAATATATATTGTATATAATATATTCTATAATATACCGTAATATGTTATCCATATCCACTACTGTATTTTAAAATTATAAGGGTAAGCTGTCTTAAATGCAACAAATTGGTACCAAAGACAAGAGATCAGTGCCTGGGTTGACCGATCCCGTAATGCAATATAATATAACAGCTTCTCTTTCTGCTATAGACGAATACAACCGACTTTTTTAAAACTAGGTCTATTCATATTTATTGGGTCAAAACTGCAAGAATAGGCTAAAAGACGCTATCTGTATCCATACATACGGTACTAAACTATCCTTACAATAATAATAGTAAATATATATGAGTAGCGTTGTTATTGTAAGGGGAACTGAATATGCCTCCAGTCGATTCTCTTAACAGCCTAATAAATGTATAGAAGTTAACTTTTATTTAGAATGATATATGGAGCAATACGGTATAAAAACATTCAAGTCGCATTTGCATTTCAGTACTAACCGACCGTTGTCTGCATCCACATTGTTGGATTTATTCAATTCAATATTCAATTTTATTAACCTCCCTTAGAAGAGAAACACACAAATTTACAATTTAGACAGAATCAATAAAATATAAAATACAGTACATACAAAAAATATCGTAGCAATTAATTAAATACAGTGTTGAAATCATATAATCCATTCAAAAAGGCAGAGACAAATTAAAAAAAAGTGTTAAAATCATTAACTAAATTGAAATGGCAAACTTACACTGTGACAGACACCACGCAGTGGTTAACACAATCAATATATTTGCAAGATTTTAAAACATTTTTACGATAATAATTGTTAAAAATTATATAACAAATTGAAAAATCATTGCTTGTTAGGGTGTTTTTAAAATGCACTTGTAAATGGGAATAATTTTTTTTTGGGCCACCGATAAATATCTGGTTGAGTAATTCAACTTGATTCGCAACTTAGATTTATGCATTGTAGCCAGAATCGGTGCCAAAAGTTTTCCAGACGTGTAACTTGACATCAGTTGACGAATTACATTACACAGAAAGCTCTCTGACATTTGCTAATTCGTCATCAACGTCGGCTTTGCCTTTTAGATTTTTACTTAACACCTAAGATGTTGACATAATCAGCACAATGCCAGATTAGCACTTTTTCGAGGTTTCATGTGGATCCTTAATAAACAGAGATTTTCCAAAGACTGCAGTACAGAACGTGTTTGTTGGATCAAATCTTAAACCGCACGACATCAATTTCTATAGACCTGTAACAGAAAGACTCACAAAAGATCATCCGCATAGCAAAATACATTGCAAGTGTGGTTGTTAATTGCTATACCACAATTCTGAATACCTACATTTTCAACTAGATCTTTTCATAAAATGTTTTAGTAGCAGGCAGGAAGCCTATTGTGTTTGTTGGTTTTTTTTTTCTTCGTCGCCGCAGCCACCATCTATATTCGTTGTCGCTGATAGGCCTATTATTACCATTAAAAATTGTATTACTGTATGTTATTATTATCATTAACATTATTTTTGACAATTTAAAGCAAATGTTTAAAGTTTGTTCTTAGCACAACAAAATGTTCTTGCCATGAAATTTGCTACCGTACATTACGGTCTTCCTAACCATATTGATTAAAATATGGATGGAGTCAAGCCACACTAATTCAGCTCTGGGCACATGCTATGAAAACGTAAACTTAAAGGCAGACGGTAGAATGTTGGAAACCGTGTCGACCATCGCCTCTCAAAGTAACGATGTTCCATATCCAGTATGTTAACCTGTGACCAGCGGAGTCGACGAAGAAGTACATGGTCGGTGGTGCTTCGAACCAACCGAGTCTTATTTCTGATTTCATTTACATTGTCATGGAGAAGGTGCCATTGGCAAGGGACAAACTGACATCATTTCATATATTATTATTCAATAATATTTTGTGGCCAATTTTGAGAGGGGAGAAGGGGTGGGAGTGGGGGAGGGGGTGGTGAGGATATTATCGAGGATAACCCCTGAAAGTACAAATGTTAAGTGGCGTCCTTATTGTGGCGAGTAAATAATACAGACAATTTCCCTCCTCTTTCCTGGAGCTCTGAGTTATTTGACGTCGTAAGTGCAACATACGAGCAGAAGTAAACACTGTTAAGTTTCATCGAAATAAAATTTATAATCATATTACCGTTTGTTATATAGGATGAAAGATTCAACGTGCTCGAAAGAACACCGTGTCTTGTTATGATGGAGAACTCCCCCCGTACTTTCATTCTTTCACGGCAATCTTGGAGGTTAACTGGTAATCACTGATCCTCCATACATTCGCTTACTACCGACAATTGGATTATTTAGTATATCTGTTTTAGTTGTTCTTTTTACTACTGTTTTAAAGATTGGTAATGGGAAAAACTTACTGTACTACGTCAAGAGAAGAAGTTCTACAATACCAGTGTGACTATAAACAATGTAGTTTTTGTTTGTTGTTTTGTTATGGTGTTTTTTTTTTCTCATGGTTTAATGATTCAGTGAAGACGGCTATTGGAATTAACGACTTCTGTGAGGACAGTGCATCGGAACTTTGATGAACGATATAGTAAGACATTGTAATGCCTTTTAAAGTTTAGTAGGCTAAGATGTATAGCAAGCATCGTACAATGAAGAGTTTAAGATATCACATATGCTCTGAAAAGAAGAAAAAACTCTAATATTTTCAGTTAAAAATATTGGAATGTTCATTCCAGGGTTAGATAGGTCCAGTCCTGGTTCACATTATTTGCTCCTAGTAAAGAGTAAACATAGTGGCGTCAGGATTAGCTCGACTAGGAAGTGGGGTTGGATGTCTCCGATTTGGGGGGGGGGGGATGATGTCCTCGACAGGAAGTCAAGTTTTACCTGACAGCAGCATAAGTGGGCGGGCTTCAAAACCTATGAGGTTAAGAGGTGGTTGCTGTGGCGCGCCAAAGTTAAGTGTCTGAAAGGCTCATTTAACCGATTTTTGAGTCGCACATTATATAAAACTTACATAAATATGCGTGTTATTTTATTTGAACGGGAATCCCGGAAAAAAATTGTTTCTTTATATGCATTTATTCCACATTCTCAGAGAAATGTTAAAGACTTTGGACTTCTGAAAATTCATTGATTTTTCTTCGGAGTATGGGAAAATGATAATGATCATGGCTTATGCAGTATGGGCGTTGGAACAGTTTGGGAGTGATGGAAGGACTAATGCGATCAAAGTCAGCAAATCATGACTGAATGCCAAGGGACCAGAAAGGTTCTTTAGTCGATGTGGAGCGAAACACAAGGTAAAATGAAAAAAAGAATTGGTAGAGAAATTTGGAGGGGCCTGGACCCTCCTCTGGTGAGTTTTTGTTTGCAGATATTCAGATTCACTTTCCTGCATTCTCAGGTGTCTGTTAATGACTTCATTTTTGTTCAAATTTCAGAGATTTTGTTTGTGTGAGTATGGAAATGTGATGATGATTATAGTGACGGATTAAGTAGTGCGGTCGGAGTGAGCTCATAATAAACAAGGACACCAAAAATGTTTTGTATAGTCGGGGTGTAGAGTGAAGGCCTAGGCAAAACAATAAAACAGACTGATGTTGTAGTAGATAAATTTGGATGGGGTTGGGGAATAACACCCGGTGGTGGTTTAAGTGTGCAAGGGAAAGGCCAGAAAAGAATTAGCAGTTCTATCCTACGGCTATAGCTAGGACTATACACTGTAGTTGCGTAATCTGCTATTTATATCTACTTCTACAAGCATGCTTTACTATTTATATGTGTCTGTATCCGAATGGTTTAGGGTTTAATTTGTATTTTGGTAAAAAAATATGGGGAAGTGTAATACAACAAGAATAGCACCCTCTTCTAAATCCGCCTCTTAAGAAAGCCAACAATACTGTACTTTATCTCACAAATTCTCATTTAACATTTCTGTCATCTTCTCTGAGTCGTTAATTTTTTTCTTTTTATATATTTCCTTAACACCCAAAACAAACCACTTTAATATAGAATGGAACGATGCTTTATAAACTAAGTCTCTTTTAGAGGGAATATCTAATCGTCTTCATCATCTATGGCTTAGATATTCGAAATAAACAATTCAGTGTACCTTTCTACCGAATGGAACAATCGACATTCTTTCAACGAATGCAAACATTGTATTGAGGCGTGCAGTGGAATGGAACAGTGTAAATGGAACAAAACGAATGGAAATGGATTAGTTCGCTGTAACATTTTGTAAATCGCATTTGAATTTAATGTCGTCGGCCAATGCTATTCTACAGAGAGCGCAAAGCGCAGAGGCACAAGCACACAGATCGTTTTTCAACGGCTGAGATGGATTATGCATTAATATACCATACTAGGTGTTTGTTTCTGAAATGAGGTGTTTAAAAGTCATCGATAAATGTGTTTTACATAATTGAGGAAACAAGAAATATACCAATTACACATGTTTAATAATCTTGTACATAATTTGCTTATAAACGATTATTACATAATTATATATATATATATATCCTTGAATCTATGCAACCCATTGAGAATTAGTTTTCCTTATATTTATACTGTATCAGTCAACATTCAACAGTGAGATCATTTTAAAATTTAAATATAAAAATATCATTCAGAATAATATTGCAAACTCAATTAAGAAATTACAAGATTTAAAACATTATTTGAATGTCTTATTAAATGTGAAAATTCCCTTTGTTATAATATACAGATGAACATATAAAACAGAATGTAGACACAGATTATATACTTTATCAAATAGATATCTAACTATTATTATAAAATAAAGATTAAAACTATAAAAAACACTGATTATAAAACTCATTTTTATAGCTTGTGTAATAATAGTACTATTCATTGATAGCCCTTCATAATTTTATTAATAATAATTATACCAATAATAACAATAATGATAATTATAATAAATTACTAAAAATAATAATATAAACAAACAATATTATAAAACACTTGAGTTAACTATAATTTATTAATAACCCTTTATTATCTTTAATATTAACAAAAAATAATATTAATAATACTCTTTCAATATTAATCTCATTCCCTCTGTGTCCCCTCACCATTCAAAACACTCTTGATTTTAATCTAATTTTATATAATAACTTAATGAAACATGAGAGAATATAATTCTTATACTTTAAGTCAAGGTGATATATTAATCAGACTTTTCGATACTTTTAGAGAAATACATTTTGACAACTACACATAAAATCTCTTCCTTCTTAAAACAACAATAATTAATCTCATGTCAAAACAAATAATTTACAACTTCCTTATTCTTTAAAAATGACACTAATTATATTAATTATGATAAAATATAAAATTTTAATTGGTTATATCTTCCATGTTTTCAATTGATATAATCAGTCCCTGCTTAACAGACTCGGATTCCTACATGTTGTTTGAAAGAATCCGGAGAGCAGCTTTTCAGTTAGTCCGCTTCCATAGCACGGACCATTCCAGAGTGTCAATTGAAGTTAATGAAATCAGAACAAGGTCACGTATACACACATGTCCCACAATCAAGCCTACATATATTTAATAATAATAATACACACAGAGTAATATAATAATAATAATTAATATTAACTATACACACAATAATATAATAATAATAATTAATTAATATTAATTAAACACACAGAATAATATAATTAATTAATATTAACTATACACACAAAATAATCAGTTTCCAATTTTTCAAAAATTGTATTAGGAATTGAGTTTAGGCTACATCTGTAAGGGCAGCGGTGTGGGACTCCCTCCCCCTACTTCCTTCCCTCCATGAGTCTTAGGAGTTGCCAATTAGGAATTCTGCCTTGGGCAAGCAAAGGTACTCCTGGCCAGGATTACGGTATTATTATTTTTTTTTATTTGTAAGGTATTATTATTTTTATTTATTTGTAGTGATTACCAACTGTTAATAACTCTTTCCATATCTGTCTGCGCCATGAGCATCCTTAATGAATACTGGGGCATTATATATGTACACTATTATAATTATTATATAATTACGCTCTCATTTTGTGGGACCTTAGTGACAATATTCAAAGTGGTGAGGCTCAGCGGATGGGTAAATTCTCAAGAAGTATCTCAACTCAGCTCTTTGGTTCTCTAACATTTCCTTTTAAATGCTTCTAACTGTTCACTTGGCTTGATTATTTTTTTAATCTGTTATTTTTTAATTTCAAGCTCAAAAAAACCTTTTGTTTGCGCTTTTCGATTATTATTATTATTATTATTATTATTATTATTATTTATCATTATCATTATTATTTATTATTATTATTATTATTATTATTATTTCATACTGAATGTACATACATTTTTAATTGGTTAAAGAATCTTATACTTTATTTAATTTTGAACAGTAAGAATTAAATTGATGATAATCCTCCATGATTTCTTAAAGGTGAGAGAATATATGAGGCGGAAATATACTTAACGAGTTGTTTGTCAGCTGCGGCTGTGTTAATAATAAGCTTATAATCAAAAAAGATTAGTAACTAATGCGCTGGTCTTCCGTCTTGATCACGCTATCTGAGATGATGGTAGGAATTAGACGTAGCTGGTAGGAAACACACCTATTCGACCGTTTAACTCCCCTTTACTCCATCCATCATCCATGCTTTCAAGTACTGTGATGACATCACCTGTAAGACGAATAATTTGGTAGAGTCAGAGGTCAATTTAAATGTATTTTAAAATTGCAGATCAAATCTGGCTTTTAAATCCGTTCTATACTATAAAAAAATAAACTTGTGTTAGAAATACGTTAGAAATACATCATCCTTCCGCAAAAGCGAGGTCCAAATGCTCAAGCAAGAGCCTGGGAGCTGCTGCTGCAAAAAAAGTACCAAACCAACCAACTAACCAACCAAGGGCGTCAGCACCCCAGGCTTCCTCTTGTTTTTGCATTCGTTCCACCCACTTTCCTACATGGATCGACACCCTTGCAACCCACCATCTCTAACCTACCTCAGAACTCTAAAAACCTAACTCCCTCCAATCACCAATCAAAGTTCCTTCACTTTCACATCCATCCGCCACTACCTTAACAAACCTAACCATCTTTCTGGTCACCCTCACTTCCTCCACCACCCTTTATCACGGTAACCTAGCATTTTTAACCTCCTCTACCAAACAAACTTACCACCCCTCCACCTCTAATCGCCCTCACCTAACCATATTCACTCACTCCCTTTAATATCACTTTATTATTATGCTTCTCCCATATACTGCATTAAGCCATCCTGATTTGTGTCAAATTATCTTTGCCACCCCCACACATCTCCTTTTTTGCCTCCCCACACATTTCACTGCCACTGATGTTGGTATCATACCCTTTACAGTCTTAGAATGCAGCCTACGAATGTGTTATGTACACTGTATAGTACAGTACAAGTATAAAACAGCCTTCAAGCAACTATATTTCCATAGCCATGAACTAGTGAACCCCTTCCCCTTCTAATTATACCCTTCCCTTCTTCCCAGTGCAAAGATTGGAGCGGTAAACAAAACAATGAATTAGTAACAAATATTTACATAAGAAACACAATTTAATAACTAATGAAGGAAGTAACTGAATTATGTTCCTTGAGATTCATTTTACTAACTGATGTATTGCGATGCTTAAAGAAAGTTTTAAGATAGATCAAAGTGATAAAAGAGCAAGCTTTAAAAGCGTCACTCGGTCAAGGCCAGACGAAAAGCTATTGCTTGTACAGGAAGCTCCATAATTTCCCCATGGATTATTATACCATACATACAGTTCATTTCCATGGGTTCTTTATGATCAACAGGTGAGGTAGCAGACAATGTACAATGCTATAGCAATAAACTACTTACTGACTATGCTACAACACCAGGCACTTCAAAATCTATTTTTACATTTATTTATTAGGTATCTATGGAATGATCAATAATCAGACTATAATCATGAAAATCCTCAAAAATTCATTAAAAATATTAAATTAAAAGGATCAAATAACAATAGAATACATTATTTCTTTTCTAATTGAGTCATGTTTTGAAATGATTTAGTTATCACTGAATTACAATTTTTTTACTGTAAAGGATATACTGTACTGTATAAACAGAATAAATAAAACCTATGTGCAACCAGCTTGTTGACCATTTCTCTTAAGCGAACACTTGCAAAAAAGCTTGCTTTTTTTTCAATTCAATCACTGCATTTGATGCTTCTTGTAAAGCGCCCACTTCTCATCAGCAAACCCGACCAATTTTGGGCCAGCGACCATCCCAAAGTGAAGGATTTTTTTTTTCAACAACACAAATTTAAATGAAGGGTGTGGGGGTGATTACAAATAATAAAATTACTTTATTGGAATACAACTAACAATAACAAATAATGTACTTTGTTTTGGTCTATATATTTTTTAGCCAGTACTAGAGTTTTAATTCAATAATGGTTGTACCTTCAATCATTAGAACAATAGACATTATTAGAAAACTGTTAAGGTAATTTCACCATTCAAGTTTCAAATTTTGGTTTGATAAAAGGAAAAAAGAAATTCTCAATATATAATGTACTTCTAACCAGGAATATGTTTTAATGTTTGGAGGTTGGATTTAAAAAACCTATTTAAAATATAGTAATGATTACATATTATGTTGTTCAGGCATTACATGGTGTGTACTCTTGTTGTAAGTGACCACTTTCCTTGGACCAGAGGGTGGTTGCTTACAAAAGGTACAACTGTAAAAGCAAATGAACAGGCATTACTCCTCACATGGAGGAGGTCCCCAGAATACCATGTTACACTGGCAAATACCCTAAAGGAGCTTTTGGTAATACTGGTATCTGATTATCATATACCAAATACAATCAATCAAGGCCTAGTGTTAAAATGATGGAAACAGATACTTGGATAGTGAAACACTACCACATTATGGATAATACTTTCTCAAAAGTCAATGGCCACCATCAGTTTTGGTTTCAGTTCACTAAGAGTAGATTAGAATGAGTATGGGATTAATGAGTATGGGATTAATGAGTATGGGATTAATGAGTATGGGATTAATCTCCACAGAGTGTCTTCATTTTAGTCCGGTTGGCAGTTACCTCATTGAGGAACGATGGTTAGATTTGGTTTCTTGATCTCAACTACCTATAAGGTCCTCTCCCTCTGAACCAACAGTTCCACCCACACACTGCAAAAGTTTTGCTAACACTACCCCAAACTACACTTTGATGTTCCATAGGTTAAAGTAACATTACCACAAGGTCCAAATATTTTAGCATTTTGTTTCAAAGTTAGCATTATAGTCCTTTGGAATGATTTGATGAATCTGATGGGGAAAAAAAAACACTTTGGTGTATAATCTCATCAAGAACCATTAACTAATTACAATATGTAGGGTTGCTATACTCTAAAATTGAAAGTGCATTGTCAGAGTTAGTGAAGGGATGATAAGAAATGCTGTTATTCGTTCCTGGAATAAAACATTTTATGATCTTTTTATTTCCTTAATTATCTCCTCAACCACTTATCGATTCTGCTTTAAACTGTTTCCTTGTTCATACACTTTTTGAGTATTTTCAATCACGCAAAGGCACTAACTATAGTCAGCAAAAATTATTCAAATATTATACAATATTGAAGTCGAAAATGTGGTATATATTGAGGGTTAAGGCAATTATCCATGCCGTTTGTCTACCTGGAGTATTACACTATAAATGCAAATTTACTAATTACAAGCTGCACTGTTAAGGAATACTCCCCAGGGAGCTTAGTATGTGCTCCAAAGATGTCTGAGAAACGACCAGGGTGATAAAGTAGCGGATAGTGACCTTGAGAAGCTGTGTCACAGTACATAAGACTAATGTATAATACAGTGAACCTTTCCACTAGGCCCCACCCCTTGGATACGGTTGCCAAGGTCCCACAAAATGACAGTGTAAAGACATATGCAAACACATGTGCTTTGTGGGACACACGTGTGTTTGTAGGACACACACATATTCCTTGCCGTGTTCTGATTGGTCAGATGTTTAGTTTGATTGACAGTCTGAAAAGGTCCATTATTACAAGCTTCTTGTACTTATTAAAATATAGAGGGCAGTAGACAATAATTATGAAAAACAAGGATGTGAGGTTAGGAGAAACCACACTGCATAGGCGTACACTCAAGAGATCCGTGATTTATAGTTTGATAAAGGAAAGTGGGATGTGCAAGGTTTCCCTTTTTTCAAACTATTCAAACCACTATTGTTTGCCATTCAATTTTAATTCATACTTTGATTCCAAATTCAACTTTCAAATATGCTGTTTGTGAAATGCTATTGAACAAGTTTAATTGCTTTAAATTTGTTGTTAAGCAAAAATATTTACTTTTGATTGACAATTAGAATGTCAAAATATTATTCTATATTCTTTGCACAAACCCGAAAAAAGTCTTAATAAAAATATTAAATATGTTTAGGGCCTAATTATAATAATATTGTTGTTCACTGTTTTGTATTAATCTTACACTCTGTTTTGAGATGTGATGTACCAACTGATTTTCTAAAGACAGAAATAAAGAAATGTTGAATCTTGAATAAATTGACTGGTAATCAATTAAAGATACAAGATACAAGAAATTAAAGTCCCAAAAATCAATAAAATAGATTCCATTGGTAATTTTACAAAGTATAGAAAACATATACAGTAGTATTATTAATTATAGGGTTTTGTAGTAAAAAAAAAAAATCAAGTGAAAACTTTTTTAGTTTGATATGCTACTGTCTCTTATACACATCTATAACTTACTAATTTCTTAAGGCCAACTCAAACAGCGTCGTATGATGCAACCTGATGCGATTCATTGTGGGCGACAGTCTTAAGCCGTAGAGAGAAATATTAAACATGTTAATAATATTCTATGACACGACTGTTGCCGGCGCAAACCATCACAACTGCATTTAACTCACACAAACCTGACCCGTGCCGGGCTGCGTCATACTATTTTCTTTGAGTTGGCCGTTACAAAGCCATTCAGTCAAAGAGATGATTAAATAGAGTAACTGTAAGAATTAACCTTGTCGAATGGTGAGCTCATCATGTTCGACTGCTTCGTAGTCGTATTTGGCAATAGCTTGGGGACGCACAGTGTCAGAATAAGATGGTGGCTTGTATGCCGACACCTGGTGACCTGAAGTTGCCACTACTTCTGAGGTAGGTGGTGGTGGTGCTACAGCTGGTGGAGGTGGTGGTGCTACAGCTGGGGGAGGTGGTGGCGCTACAGTTTTTGGAGGTGGTGTATAATCCACTGAAAAAATAAGAAAAGTTTTCCATAATTATTTAAAAAAAAAAAAGATTAAAAATTACCATTTACAAAAAAGGAGCTATTGGTATATATTTTCTTTTAAAAAATGCTAATTTAGTATATTATTTTGTTATACATTTAATAATTTAATTCAGAATAACTTTTTCATACAACAAAGTTGGAGTTGTCTTGTCATGCTCCCAATTTCATATGTTAATAATTGTTTACCTGTAGTTGTTGAAGACAACGTTGCCCCGTCACCAGGACCTCGATATGGTGGTGGTTGAACATTTGACCTTTGTCTCCTCAGGACACTATTTTGAAAACCCTAATTTGAAAACAACCCTGAAAATTAGCACTTACAATGCACTCTATTAGAAACATACGTAGATCTGCATTTCTGGCCTTAATTTGGTTTCATTAAGTGGTCCTTTAGTATAATTTAGTGGACAATTGGTATCACATAACTTGACTTAATATTATAAATTCTTAAAAGCAACTACGAATCTTGAAAATTTTGTTCTCACTTATTAAACTTTGAGGCCTCCCAGAGTGTCTCAGTTTGAAAGACACTGATTGACTGAATAAAAATACTATCCTTAATAATGTACATATGAGTATGGTGGCTAGAACATTTTTTAAATATAATATTCATACTGTTATTTATAATACTCTTCGACAGTTTTTATCACAAAAAAATCAAGTATAATTTGAAATCCAGTTTTAGTAAAGATGAATTTAAAACTGATAGTGTTAAGACAGTATTTCCAATGTATCCATTTTTAGAAGGTAACAGAAAACATCACAACTTTTAATAGTTTAATAGCTTTTTGTCCAATTTACACTTATCTCATTACTTACTTACTTATCTCATTACTTACTTACTTATCTCATTACTTACTTACTTATCTCATTACTTACTTATCTCATTACTTACTTACTTTTAGTGAAGGCAAGACATTTTTATACCTTGTTTAGCAAACCCACCGAAAGCAAATATTGATGATTTAAAAAAAAAGAAAATTTTATTTTTGGTCAATTAGCACACCCAACGCCTCAAAAAAAGGAAAAAATAAAAGTTTTTCTTTAATTTTATTACGCCCTCCGCTGCCTTGAAATCTCCAAAGAGAAGATATGTATATTTCTTCTTAATTATATAAATTTGAAGCATTAAACCATCCCATTTTACATTACATCAATAAAATTTTATTTTTATTTTCTCCTCCGTCTGGATGTTTTTGGCAAAACCATTTCCTAAATAAGAAAACAAAATTTAATTTTTATTTTTATTCCGCCCTCCTCCTATGATCTATAAAACACATAAGTACGTGAAACAAGGAATAAAAAAAGTGTCGCCAAATGTATTTTATCTCTCAGGTTTTTGAATAAAATTCAATAGGTGGTCCTCAGTGATTTTTTGGTCTCATTTAACTGTTCAATGGTCTCATTTAATGGTCCTTTGGCTTCATTTCTTACCTGTTTGTCTTTTTCTGTCTTGATATGGGTCCCAATCTCAGCTACTGGTTGAGCCGTCCTGTCCATCAGAGCTAATGCTGTTTTAAGTTTAAACTTTGAAGCTTCCAGAAGGTCAATCATTTCATCTGCCTAAATTTACAAAATTAGAACCAATAAAAAATTAAATATTATAACTTATGTATTAACAATATAAATTATGTATTATATTTAATATGAAATTTAGAGAAGCATTTTAATGTAACAATTACATGAATTCTTACTTGTCAAATAGAGGGCGCTAGTCAACTTACATTGTGTATTTTCTGAGTAACACTGTCTACAGTACCATCATCAGCATAACCTGGGGTTTTACCATAAGCTCCTGATAACCTTGCAATACCTGCAAAGAAGAAAAACAAGTCAGTCTTTTAAAATATCAATCGACCGACATGCCAACTAACCAAAAACCAATTAATTAACTAATTAATTAATCATCCCACTAAGCAGCCAATCAACCAACCAACCAACCAACCAACCAACCACTCACTGAAAGAACCAACAATCAATCAATCACCTAATCAAGAAAATGAATGAATGAATCAATCAATCGATCAAATCAATCAATCCATAAGATAATTTGACAATTAAGCTTGCCTTCTTTGGTTTTCTGTTCTTTGTAAATCTCCTGATCTAAGCTCTGCAGTTTCCTCATTATGCATGATCGACGTCGATCAGGTTTCATAGTATTCTTCATATCCTCTTCCTTGAAAAAAGAGGGAAAAACAAAAATGATGCCAAACATTAACACTTAATTAATGGGTCTTTATGAGAACTCTAACAATTCCTGAAACACATGATGTTGGAAGACAAATAAGCATGTTGTGTTGGAAGATAGCATTATTGATAATTAGAGCTTGACAATGAAGAGCAGGTGAAATCTAAAATCTTACAGGGCAGATTGCTACTGCCCTGTGAACTAGGTACAACCTTCATGCGAGTCTTTTTCTCTCTCAAGATGGGACTCAAACCCACTTGTTTTTGTTAGTTCTTAATCAAAATTTAGGATTAATGCAATAATGTGCCACATAAATTCCTACTCATTAGGCCAAAAAAAAAAAATGTTCTGGTTCTGGTCAGACCAAAGTTACAGAATTGATGCGGCGATTGGTTTTTTTTTTTTCTATATTGTTTTTTTTTTTTTTTGAAAAGCATGGAAAGTACAGAAAATTTTTGAAAAGCATGGAAAGTACAGAAAAGGTGTTTTTAGTATCTTTTTTATGTTCTGCTAATGCTATACATTGTTGCCCTTCCACATCCTCGATTTCGCTTCATTTGCCAAGGGGACCCCGTCTTAATTCATCATCATTATCAGCATTAATGGGTACGCTTTGAAAAAATCCGACGGGCGATGATCCCAACATAGCCGTTACTTTCTTCGATCTCGGGTGCAAATGTCGCTCACCACTGCTCGAGGAGGACGATGGACTTTCATCACATACTTACACACTCAGCAAACTCGTCGAGCTACGGTATCGCACGATAAAATGCCAAAAGGTCCCTTACGGTGTATAAGCCGCACCCCTAATTAGGACGTGAAATATCATGATTTTTTGTCACCTAGTTGTGTATAAGCCGCATCTATTTTTTAAGCCCCAAACCATTCCCATAATTTTAATTTTTAAATTATTTTGAAACACTGACATTATTTACAAATTTCATCTTTTTCTATTGAAAAAGATGACAAACAACTGGAAATGCATGTAAACTTCAGGCTACTGCAATGAAACAACGTATTCCTGCTCTGGGGAAATCCCCATTTCATGCTAGACGCCGTCGCGCTACGTTAAAATTTCAACATCAGTTTAGTTTAATAAAATCTAAGAAAATAAAATACTTATTGAGTATATTTATCTATTTTAAACAATCATTCTATTTATGGTGACTAATAACAGTGGTATTAAGCTTAATATATTGGTAATTCTAGGCCTAAGTCATGACTACTCACAGCCCATTGCGGACCAGAGACAGAACATTTATTTTTTTGGGCCTTACTGATAACCTATAAAGGAACCAGAAACCAATCAGGATTTCAGGTGAACACTGTGCATTTAAGAGGTAAGCTAGCAAAGACAGTTCTAGTTGAAACTTGATGCCCCTAATATCTTCAAAATTCATTTTTTGAATTCTTTAAACTTGTTAGTTTTATACTTACATAGGAGTCATACAAAATCTGGTCAGCAGTAACATCTGTGGAATATGTTGAAGCAACAACCTCAATGTCACAGCTTGAATCGATCAGACCTGCAGCTTGGCCAACTCTTGCACTAATCTGAAATTAAGTTTTTTAAACTGCATTTTAATACCCAATTATAATTGTTTTTTAAAAAATATCCTAATTAAGTTTTATTACCAAAATGTAATATATCAATGAATGAATTAATGAAATAAAATTTGTAAAAGGAACTTTACAGTAAATACAAACTATTTTTACAGAAATCTGTTTAACTTTTGATGTACTATGACATTTAACCTTGTATTTGCTGTATACAGCATGTTCTGGCCCATTGACATTTGACCTACCTCAGTGACATTTGGCCCTAGTATTGACATATGGTTTGACAATTTTCCTATGAGGTCTTTTAGTTGCACGAACCGTTCTTCTTCTATGTTCTGATACTGGCCAGCAGTGCAGCGTACAGCGTACTCTAAATCGTGACGTGCACTTTCAAGTTTCTTAACTGCATCTATGTGCTCACCATCTGCTTTAATTGCGACTGTTTCAGCTTTTTTGGTCTTGGATTGTAACTAAAGAAAATACATTTGAACAAAATTTAGTATACCTCAAATAATCCTATTTGTTTCAAGCCGCTGGAACAAGATTATTTTGGTGCTCCCGGTTTCTCTTCTGTGAAACTGGGAGTGGCATATCTAAAGTAGGGGGTGTGGGATATACATTACCCATCTAGATCCTAGTTTACAATTTATGTATGTTGTTTTGTACAGCCGGGCATTTACTGCATTGTACGATGGTCGTATGGCGGATCTAACTCTGCTCCCTGTCAGCATTTTATGATGCAAGACCGTCTGCTAAAATGTCGGTTTCAGTCTGAACGGATTGTTATTAAAAACGATTCATTGCGCATGCATCATGGAGCTGTGTTCTCCATAGAATCGCATTGGCTGATGACCATTGGGTACAGTAAGTGCCTGACTTAACACCCTAAATTATTTCTTTACCTTAGTGAGTTCTTTTTCTGTAAGTGGTTTCTTAACACTTGAATCGTCAATTTGCTGGGACATGCTTTCACATTCCTTTGTCTTAGTGATAACATTCTTCTTAATCTAGAAAAAAAGTTAGAAGCCCAATTGTTCTGAAAATGCTTGAAATGAACTTTAAACAAATCTAAGGAATTTTTACCAGAAAAGGGTGAGGTAAATTTATTCAACAAAAAAAGGTATATAAATACTGTAAAATTATATGAATAGATATAGAAAACATGAAAAAGGAAATAAGAAACAAAGAAAAGATGTTATGGATTTTAGGAACATACATACATGCCTCAATTGGGGACAGTATGGCCCATATGCATTCTACAGTATTGGATTTTCCTCAAGACAAAACTTACTTTGATCATACTTTGTTTTTTGTCATTCCAAACTTTTGCTGCTTTTTCTACTGGTGTATCAATCTACAGTAAGAAGAAAAAAAGCTCTTAATTCTGCAAATTTTATACAGCTATATCACTGAACAGATATTAGGTACATTAAAGCACCTGTTATTGTCTTAATACAGTGTAATTATTGTTGTAAGTCAGTCTAGACATCATCACTTTTATTTGCATGTAATTTTCCTATCCCTGAAGAGGCACTATTTGGATATAGTGCCTGTTTTAGTGCAGAACCTCAATGCTTGGGTTTTACACCGTGATGAATTTTGTTGCTAGGCCAAGCTCTGAATGCAAGGCCTAGAAAGTCATGGTTATGAGATAGCAAGGTGATAGACTTTATAAAAGAACTGAAAAGAGAAGTCAATGCTATAATAATTCATAATAATGTTTACAATACATTTTAATCTATTAAATGATGTCTACCAGGAGGTTAGGCCCACCGAACTTCATAAACCACAATCAATTTTCTTTTTCATTCAGTGGGCGTACTACTAGTAGTAAACCATTCAAGTTAATGTGTTGATCACTGAGCAACTGTTTCTGCAACCAGCAGTTTGATTATAAAATATCCTAAATACACATCATCAGGGTCACTGACTTTATAAAGCAATTGTTGTCAAGTTATTTCGGACCATATTCTATAGAAAATATATTATTTTTTATAGGGTCCTCAGAACTCAACTATTATTGCATATTATTATTTATACTGTGGAAGAGCGAATAAACGTGTCGATCTTTTTCTTGGCACGTAATTGCATCGCGAAGTATTGCATCTAGGCTCTTAATTAACCCGTCTGTATCTTAATAATGAATGTGTGTAATGACATTGATTGCTTGGGTATATAAAGTGGTTTTCACATGGTTGCTGGCTGTTGAACACTTTGTATGTAGTTGGCCGGTTTTGAAACTTACGGTAGTAAACTTGCTTGAATAAGTTTATAGGTATGTTAATAAATTGTTATATTTATCAGTGTATTTTGATAACAGTGACTTTATACATTGGTACATCTTTAATAATGTTTGATAATGTGATTGATTTATATTTGATTCAAGTATCAATATTAGGTAGTATCTGTCATGTTTTCAACTGAGAAATGTTATTGTTTGTGATGGCAGAGTGGTCGATAGGTATGCATGCCACATTGGGGTGTGAACACCGTAGAGTGTATTATTGGACTCGTTTCTTATATATGCTATTATCGTCATCTTTACATCGTTAATTAATTATAATGGTTCATTCCTAGATTGAATACAGTAGAATGGTATAGAGGCAGGTTAAATATGGTTGTGTTCCTCCAAAGTTTTTGTTTAATCCAGGTATACACATTATTAAATACTTATGTATTGATATTGTAATGGTTATATATTGAGATTGTGTAGTTTATGTATTTATAGTTGCTTTTGAGATGTGACATAATGATTATGTACTGAGACTGTAATATTACTATTACAGGAATTTTTGTTTATGGTGTCGATGTGCCCATCGACACGATGTGCCCATCGATTCCTGAATCTCTAATTGACGATAAAAAGAACCCTGGAACGTTCGTGCTTGTCACCTTGTTTTATTATATGCTGTCCAACTAAAACTAGCACAATACTCTATTGTCTTCTTAATATAGAGATGATTTAATTAATACTTCATACTCACAGACTTTTGTGCCTTAATCTGTTGTTCCAGAAATGTTTTGAATGGCTTTGCAAGTTCTGTGCGTAGAACCTCACCAAATTGTCTGCAATGAAGATTTGATAATCACAAAATCAGATATACAAAATTACCTAAAAAAATTAAATATCATATAGAGTGTTATTATTAATAATCTATACATTATTGCTGGTGCCATTGTAGTGATCATCAACTATGCCACACAACTAAATCAATATGATTTTTAAACTTTCTATGACCTTTGATCTCAATATTTGACAATTTAACCCAAAAATTTAAGCATCCATACAGCAACATGTACTGCTCCATTAAATTTTATGACCAATTTACAAGTTCTTGCATTTACAGCAGTGTGTTTGTTTTCAAATGATGATCAATTTTCTGAAGCCTTAATTCTCATTATAATATACCGCATGCAGCATGACTATGCAGCACATTGTATGTATAATTTCTTATTTAATAGTTTTCCTTCCCAACTTCCTTTATTGGTATATTATGACTTTTCTCTTTGCCTGTTCCTTGTTTCAATAGATCCAAAATGACTGTGAACATTGTATTGTTATCCTTCAGAACAAAATATACAAAAATCAGCAACATAATTGTTAATGGTATTGAAATTTCATTTAAAAGTATACATTGGAAGTAGAAATCAAATGAAGTTCATTTAACATAATTGTTGATTTAAGATTGCTTATTAGCTGGACATACAACAAAACAAATGCGCTTTTGCATAATTGACTTTACCAGAGATTTTATCCAACTTAATGGATGACGAATCAGAATAGGCATATGAATAATTGTGTTCCACAAACACATGTATTTATGCTGTAGTTTTGTGAAACCATGGTAATAATATAAAAGAGGCCAACACTAAACTCAGTAGAAAAAATATCAACATATAACAACATTCAACAACTAACACCAACATTATTAGCATTAATATCCTTAGGTTAAAAAATACTTCCAAAAACTTAGCAATCGGTAAAGCTTGAAATATGATTAAATAACAAGGAATAGTGTACATAAAGCTTGAAATATGATTAAATAACAAGGAATAGTGTACATAAAGCTTGAAATATGATTAAATAACAAGGAATAGTGTACATAAAGCTTGGAATATGATTAAATAACAAGAAATAGTGTACATAAAGCTTGTAACAAGGAATAGTTTACATAAAGCTTGAAATATGATTAAATAACAAGGAATAGTTTACATAAAGCTTGAAATATGATTAAATAACAAGGAATAGTTTACATAAAGCTTGAAATATGATTAAATAACAAGGAATAGTTTACATAAAGCTTGAAATATGATTAAATAACAAGGAATAGTTTACATAAAGCTTGAAATATGATTAAATAACAAGGAATAGTTTACATAAAGCTTGGAATATGATTAAATAACAAGGAATAGTGTACATAAAGCTTGAAATATGATTAAATAACAAGGAATAGTGTACATAAAGCTTGAAATATGATTAAATAACAAGGAATAGTGTACATAAAGCTTGAAATATGATTAAATAACAAGGAATAGTTTACATACTTATGTAGGTCTCCTTCTGCATCCATCTGCAATGCTAGGGTGCTCCATGCCTGTGCTAGGGTACTGTAGGGGGGAAACAACATGCAAAAATACTAATACTATAGCAAAGGTCTACATGCTAGGTCAGAGACAGGTCTGTTGTCTAGGGGAAGTGTGGGGGAAAGAGGTTAAGTTCACACATCATCAGCATTAAGCAATTCATATTAGTGTATCATAAAAGTGCATTATTCATAAGAAGGTAAGTAACTTTCTTCTTTGTACTAATGCATGTTTCTTTATTCTAAAGCGCCTGCATTTTTAAAACATAACGGCCTCTATTATCGTAAGAAAGAAAATATTCCATATCATCCTGCATATCTATCCAGCCCTAGATATGTTATCACACAGTTAGACGGTAGGAAAATATATGGAACATTTTACAATAATATGACTGGGAATAACACAAATATTACAGATACGTAACTAATGTGCATGCAGTGTAACCTACTGTACTTACCCTACGCACTCTTTGCCGGATTTTGTTATTTTATTTGAAAGTTTTGCAAGACTTTTAGCATATGAACACTCAATATCTGCCCTGTGAAGAAAGTCAACAGATAGCAATAAAAAAGATATTGGTATTATAATTATCCTTGTAAATACTGTACAGTATCTCTTAACTGATTAACAACAGAATGTTCATTCAAAAAAAAAAAATCTAAATTACTTTGAATATACTGTTTCAATCAAATTATAACTTTTCAAAACTGCATGCCTAAGTTAAAAACCAATATTTGATTTCTTTTAAAGAGTACAGTATCTGAAGAAGTCAGCTTGGCTACTCATTCAAAACATACTGTATGTTGGGCTTTTGCCCGAGGAAAGGCTACTGGAGTACATAAAAATTAAAAGTTACATAAATATTGGGCATAAAGTAGGAGGTGGGCTTACTTATACCCAAGGGACCATGGTAATAGTATTTGGCTCTCACTTGGAAAAAAAAAACAAAAACCCAAAAAACTGTTTAAATGTTTCAATTGAATGTCTACCTTATTTTTAGGAACAGTAATATAACTGAACTTTGATTTACCTTTCATTTAACAGATTGATGAAATCTTTGCTAAAGTCTGTACTTCCTTTCATGTACTTCTTTAACAGATTGTAGCCATTGGCTCCCTAAATCACCAAGTAGAGAACAAAAAAAGGGAAAATCACTGAACAATTTAACACACTGTAACATATTTCTGACACATGATTAGCAATGTAATTCAAAGCAAAAGAAGAAAAATAAAAAATACATTTGGTGCTGAAGGCAGCAGCTCTTCTGAAAAAAAAAACAAAAAAACAAAACAGATTTTGTGGCAGTGGCTGCATGATTTATAAACAATGACACACCTTTAATAGGAAGGATTGTTTTGTTGGAATGGGTGGAGACTTTTATCAGGAAATGGACAGGCTCCACCAGATGAAAACTAACTGTATTTGCCTCTGTTATTTTTGGAATATTAAATTCATAGACTCCCACCACCCTACGATGCACTAAATTTCAATTCTTTTTTCTTGCACAAATAAAAATTATTTGTACTTTGTAAATAACTTGTTGGGGAGGATGGGAACTTCCTTGGTTGGTGGAAGGCTCACTCTGACCTACCAGTCAGGCAGTCTGCTGTATCTGGCTTCCAGGGATTTATTTGATCCACATCACCTTCAGTAACTGATGTTTTACGTTCTGGAATCTGTGGTTTTTATAAGGCAGCACTGTCTCATTGTTCTCCTGATGACAGGTCATTGTGGTCTCTCATTGACCTTCATTCCCAGGCCGGATCCAGTAGGAGCATGGGGATAAATGCCCTCCCCCATGTTGCCACTAAATTTTAAAATTTCAATGCATCAATGATATGTATTGAAATTAGTGCTTTTTGCATCTATTCTGAAAATGATGTGCCTCGATCTCCCCCCTCCCCCTCTTTCCCCGTTTGAAAAATTCTGGATCCGCACCCACCCCTATGAAGATACACCTATTCTATTTTTGTACAATTTTTTTTCACTTATTATATATTAAATATTAAAACATTTTCTTAAACACCCAATGAGGCACGAATGATAGATTCAATTATAAATAGTTGGAGCCTCAACCTACGTGAAATAACTGGGTAGTACTCTGGATACTATTAAGAGCGATCGTTGAGCTCTAAATACTGTATCATGATAATTATTGTTTGTTATAGTGATAAAACTTGTGTGAACTTGTTTATCATTTCTATTCTACAGTAACAATTAATAGTGGTTTTCAGTCTGACCTTGACATGGCAAATAATAATGTGTTCTTAAATGATAAGTGTATTGCTGGCCTATGAAAGCTATCAGCCTTCCAACATACAATGTTTGTAAATAGGGAAAAGTTTTCGGTGTCAAAAAGTTCTATGGCTTTCAAGTTGAGTGTAAATTGAAGTTTAAACCCGGAAGTATGAGCACTTCGTTGGAGAAAAGGAAATATTTGTTTTTAATGTTTATTCTTTTTCTTAGATACAGTAAATACTGCAGAAGTTTTACAGACAAGCATGACACTAATTATTTGGGCCTCAATCAAGAGATTATGAGGTTTGAATCCAGTGATATTCACAATCACTCAGCTGCTGAGGTTGTTTTGACCATCTATCTGTAAAATTGCTCCCTGGGTCCTCACTTCGAATCCCTGGATCCACCTGGCCGTCAAAAATACCAAAAAATATAAATTTACTTGAAACACTAAGCGCTGATTTAAATATGGAATGCTAAGAGCAAGGGTTTAGCCAGCGAGCCGCCCAACCGTATTTTGGAAGGCAAACAATTATTTAGGACAGCTACTTTTACCGTGACGGCTTGCTCTACTCATATCCATCTAGCCTAGTTGGGCCTGGTCTACTTTAGCAAATTCTTGATATTCTTCGAACCTTTCAAATGTTGCATTAAACTAAAGCATATTTTTGATGTTCCATTACGTTTTTCTGGCTAAAGCAGTGGCTAAGAGTTACATAAACATGATGATAAAGAACAGCCGAAGAACTTACAGCAGAAAAGCAGCAGATTATGCGGGGGAAGGAGACTGTGAAGGAACTTTTTAATGTGACTTACTGCAATTTAACTGATTGAAGTAGAAAAATCAATGAGGAAGTAACACTATAAAGTTTGGTAGTTTGCTGAAGTTTCCTGAATTACAATGTAAATAGCTAACAGCTTATAACAATGAATGCCACTCTAATTATTTTGTTATGCCCTACAAAAGACAACATTTACTTCACATGTAATGGTATTCATTCATTCATTCATCTTTTATTTCAGAGTTTAAAATCCAGAGAACAACAACAACAAAAAAGAAAATTAAACAGTATACAATACACAAATTACAAGGCATTTGCATTACACAAAATTACTGTAGTCAGGGCTGCTTTTTTAAGATTTGTTGTTATTAAATTTTCAAAGTTTGATGACAATTTACAATAATAAACCAATCATAACATTCAAACATATAAAATTCTTAATATAATATTTCTTATAGTATTCTTATTGTTAAGTGTGAATTGTAGTTCTATATTACTTTCTGCCTTTTTGTATTTTCTGATCTTATTATGTAGAGGGCCCAGAATATCAGTATAACTGGAAGGGTCACCTTCTACAGTATACTATAGATTGTTGAAATAAAATAAACAGACCAAAAGGTAACGCACAGGAAAAACACAAGGACAAAAAATACATGTGAGGATTTGTCTACAAGTATATACTACTATAATAAAAAATGTTTAAAAAAATTGTCATGGAGAGGATAAAATATAAGCAAATGCAAAAAGAAACTGTCAATAATCCCCACTCCCAACCACAAAATCCTCCCACCCATGCATCATCAACCCATGCATACCATGGATTCACCAATAAAAAAATGCTATTTTAAAAATGTTCTTTGTTCATCCAAAAAGCAAGTATACAGTACTTACTATAAATTAAAAAAGACAATAATAAACCTTGACTTGAAGCCAAGTGGGCTTAATCTCGAGATGAAGCCCATCTCGAATTGAAGCCCCCTCTTTAGTTTGCAAAATTAGACTCGAAAAGAAGCCCATGGGCTTCTTTTCAAGATAGCACAGGCTCTTTTTGAAATAGTACAGTACATACACTGTACATGAATTTCAGAAAACAAAATAAATTAAATACAAGCTTTGTTTACTAAAAGTAGTTTAGGTGATTTAATGCCAGTAAAATACACTCCATGATACAGATTGACGTTACAGTGGCCTTATTTATTGTTTTATAGTACAAATTCACAGCATCCCTCCTACTTTGCAAAAGTAGCCTCGAAAAGAAGCGCATTAAAAAAAAGCCCATCAAAAGTTCGCAAAGAAAAGAAGCCCAGGGCTTCAATTTGAGGTTTTAAGGTATGCTTGATAAATTACATCTGAAATAAATCCGGGTTTCAAATTCTCTCTAACCTGAGATTGAAAAGGCAGCGCTAAACATGCTACAGTCAACACACTAGAAGGCAGTCTATGCTACATGACACTCTACATAGACCCTGGAACACAGCATTAGTGCTACATTACAGTCCTACAATAAGACCATGGGATTACTGTAGCACATAGCCACAATATTGGTCAAAAGCAGTAAAACTGCTTTAGGAAGCATTGAAATAACCATCTAATCTTGCAGCATACAAAAAGCATTGGAATAGCTATATTGGTCAAAACCATTGAAATTTAAAGCAGTGCAAACCAACCACTAAAAACTCCTGAGAACCAATCCCAACAACCTACCAATCACCTTTTATTTTCAACTAAAAATTGTAACAAATACAAGTACATAATATTTGTATAGCAGTTACATTTAGTGATCACTTGTTAATATTAACTCAAGATTTAAGATTAGTATAACTGGACATTGGACCCTTGAGACATCCACCCAATCCAACATCCTGACAATTATCAGCATAATAATTCATATTTTATGGCTTTATCAATGCTCTACCATTTTCAAAATTGTTATTGTTGGAAATCACAAAGAATGAAGGAATTTATTCTTTACAATACATATTTCTTCTGCGAATGCATGCACACAGTGGGTAGAATAATAAATGTTTTTATCATTATGTTGTCTTAATATGTAATAAATTTAGCTTGAAATCAATAACCTGTATCTTTCTCAAAAGATTATATACAGCATTACAGAGAGAGGTGGGAGGGGGGGGGGGGGGGGGGGGGGTGTGGAGGTGCCGCATTTATGGGGTATATTTTTGAGGACTTGGTAGACGAACACTTTTTGCCATCAGGAACCAGTAAATATTGCGCCCTCTCTGTCACTATTGAGTGGACTTTTTCCTGTCGTCTTTTAGAGCACAGTGCGATTCTGGTAAATGGTAGTTCAAGTAAAGAATTTTCAGTAAAAAATAGGCAGGTCTCATGTCTGGAAGTGGCTCACAAAAGATGTGTATAAGAGACAGGTATGCAAGTGAGCTCCACTGGATTACAATATTTAATAAAGTCGTAAAAGGTACAACAGTACATATTGCAAATAACCTTGTCACATTGCTCAGCTTTTGAATATTGTACAATTCAAAAAGTTTTTTCAAGGGATTATCCAACCTACACAAAAAGTCATCTGTGGGTTGAACCATGGAGAACAGATAGCAGCATCCAGTAATGAATAACTAAGTTCACCACATTTCTTAATACAGTACTTAACAGAAATTGTGATATTGACAATACAAATGGCGAGGTAAAGCCAACAGAATGACTACAAAAGGGATAGAATAGAATGTGTGAGGTGACAGGGGTCTCGCCCGCTATACTTAAGCGTGACGAGACCCACTCTTGGGTGAAGAAAAAAGGAAAAATAAGCAAAGATTGCACCATGCTTAAAAAGTTAGCGTCACGCTCAAAAAAATTTTACTATGTATATTTTATTCAAAATATTACAATAAATACCGAAGCCTTTTGTATTCATGACAATTGCAATGTTTTGATTTTTATGACGATACAGTACTGTATTTTTTTGTTATGCAACTTCACAATTATGAAAGTGTGTATATAATATGTATCATGATTCTAGTGGACATTGGTTGTTTTATTTGTTTCACATAGTTTCGATTTTATTTATTTATTTACTTTTTATATATTTATTCGTATCCTTCACCATCTTTGGTCGGTCATTTATATTTTTGCCTTTTGTATTCATGACAATTGCAATGTGTTGATTTTTACAACTGTGCACTGTATTTTTTTTTATGCTTCTTCACAATTATGAAGTGTGCCACTGTTAAAAAAGTGTAGTTTCCTAAATTACTTACTGACTGTACAACAGGGCAAACTTTAAGTTGATTACATCTATGAGCAAATCACTTAGTCCATAAACAGATTTTATACATTTTAGTATCATTCTCAGGTCAAAGGATTGAAATAATTTAGGTAATTGAAACCTTGGAAAAGATTTTGTAGTATAGGTCCTAATATATCCTTATTCGTTATGATAGGCCTTTCTCACTAACGTCTTGACCGTAGCTAGTTGTATTAAAATTGATAAAGTCATATTAAAGGCCAAAAAACCATATTGCTGAGTAATATACTAAGGAAGGAAACAAAATCATTAACTAAGAGTCCACTACTACAATGCATGCATATTTAATGTGACAAATGGCAATATTTTGTAAGACAGGCAATATATCAAGATGAGTAGTCATCTGATGATTATCATAAGATAGGAACACAATATCTAAATATGTCAAATAAACAATAAAATAGCAATATATGTGAAATAAGTCTTGAGGATTACACAATAAAAGTAAACAATGAATGTTACAGTACTGCAACAGGGATGAACTGTCAGAAGCAGATGTGGGAAGATGATTCTGGCCATAACACTGGGAAATAAAACATTAACATCTATCTAGGCACCTACTGTGAATTTTACTCATTTATATTCAAGAACACAATAACAAAAAGAAAAAAACAAAACAAAACAATGCACATGTTTACAAAACATTATAAATAGTAGTTCCTAGAAAGGTTCAAAAGCAGCATAAAGCAACTATTTGTGATGTGAACCTCCTACTATTACTTACAAACAGATGGTAAATTTGAATTTATACTACGGTATTATTACTGCGAGGAATATAGTATAAATTAATACAGTAAATACAAACATTCTAAAGAATGCCCCTGTTGTGGTGTCGGATGTGGATTATCCTGCTATTGTCACTCACTGTCAAACTAAAGGTAATACCCCTGACCTCCAGGACCGCCACTCCTCCTCCCCCAAAAATATGGATTCACCCAGCAGTATTCTCACCTCCCAACATTTTCCCCAAGTTCGAAACGGGGACTCTACAAGGTTAGGCCCCGTCTTATCTGGTCCAACCATCTCAGTCCAGCGGTGGGTAAGTCCCATGTGATCCCCGCAACAGGTAGAGTTTAATCGACTTGCCTTGCCGCCATGCCCTAGCTAGGCCCACCCCACCCCTATAAACCGTACGGTACTTACAATAAATGAAGACTGGAAATGCGTCATGTTTCTTCTTACTCTCTTTGCAAACAATAGAGAAATATGTGCAAACTTCTTAGATGACAAGTAATTGCATTATATGTATCATACAGGCAGATCCTCCCTTACTACCACCACACCGGTCACAAAAATCAAACTGCAAAATAAAATCAACACTTCACCAATCCAAATCCAATACAACAAAGCAGTAGGCGATGAGGGCGCTATTTACAATACCTGTAACCTGTAACAACTTCGTTCGTCGCCCCCAGAGAGGTGCACCAAGGTAAACTCAGCACCCGCTCAGCAACTCTCAACTTATCTTTTGGAAAAACCATTGCTCCTACGACCATTATTAACTATGCTTCCTCCTTTTGAATTAGCTCACAAATAGACAAAACTAAATAAAAATTCGCGTTATGAGAAACATCAAAAGAAAATCAATCATTCGTGCATAGATTTTACCAACCTGAGAGATTTGAATTGAAATGCTTGACTACACCAGTTGTGGGGAGGGGAGGGGCAGGGCCCAGGTCCAAGGGCAGAACTCCGGACTCAATCTACTGCATGAACGTTTTCATATTTTTAATAAAACCAATTTCTTCTAATTATAAATGTGCAATATTTTACTGTACAAATACGGTACAATTTAAACTTTAGCAACTATGATAATGATAATTAAAGTGACCTTCTTTTATATTTTTTTATGATTGATGATAATTTGACCGTATTTGTTTTTTGTAATGAATTGTATTTGTAATGTTTCTTAGCTTTTGTACTTTGCTGTTTTGCATTTGTAAATATTTTTTATGAATAGGTTTTGTGATGCAAACCCGGATTTCAGCTTCGGCTGCTTTTTGTTTCCACAGATTGGCTTTCTGGTATGAAGAACTCCTTTTCTTACATTTGTGTAGTTTGAGGACACAGACGTTCTCAGTTGTTAGCATAGGCAAAGAGGCTAGTAGCAGTGGTGGCGCAAACCAGGGGGTGGAGGTGCAGTGGACCAAAAATATTAATTTGCCTGTTCAAAACGTTAGTTTGATGGACGACTCCTAAATTGTGGTCTAAAAGCATAATTTCGGCACATACTAAAGGCGTGTGACGATAACGATCAACGATAAAAAAACGGCTAAAAAACAATTGTTCATATAGAAAATAAAAGATATGAGAAGTTTCCCCACTAGCACGATTCGATAACGATTTATTGTGTATGGTGTACGATAAAAAAAATATTTTCACAAATCAAATAAAATGACGTCATAATCTTGAGTTTCCCACGATTATGACGTCATTTGATTTGATTGTTGAAATTATTTTCGTATACACTATAAAGCGGCTTTTTAGCTTTTTATCGTTGATCATCATCGTCATAATGTGAACAGGCATTTAGCCTTAAATCTATCCCCAACAACCCAACCAGGCCTTTTTATTCCGGGACCCTGATCGAGACTCTATAGTCGGCCCCCTTTTTCGGACCCCTCATCGACAAATTTCCGAAGCCACCACTGTCTAATAATACCAATACTAATTCATATGAAGATCTAAATATTGTTTATAGTATAATCTCCAGAAAATGTTCTGGAGAATTAAATATTCCATTAAAAATACATTTTTAATATCAATACTTTTTTGGTTGTCAAAAAACATTTCAACCGATTATTATTTTGTTTTGATTTGTTATTTGTTTTGTATTCGTAATTTAACTATTATTATATACAGTATATTTTAATTATTATTACTGCATCATCATCACCTTCATTATAATTACTGTATTATAATCATCATCGTCATTACTACATCATCCCCATCTAAACAACAAAGTAATTAAACAATGATATCTTTTAAATATTTCCTGATTGCTTTAATCAATATAATACTGTATCAAACTAAAAATTACATCAAAAAATATTTCAGCAAATCTTTACTCAGTGAATAATTATACTGGTGCAATGAGAACAAATAATTAATAATGTGTATTATAAATTAATAATTATCATGATTACCTAATAATTCATTTGTCCATCACCTTAAAATTATTGAAATGTATTCATTACATAGTAACATGTATCTTTGAGAGGATTTTATTGCCTTTTATTATTAATTAAAATTGGCTGGTGCAATAAAAATATTTGTATAATATTATATTATTATTTCGCTACAAAACACCAACCTTCTTTTCATCATAACAGTGCAATTGATTCTTTTTATATTATAATGTGAAGGACTCTAATACCCTATTCAGACTACACTCTGTTGGGATGTAATCGGTGGTAATCCAACTGATTACTCCCGATCGCAATCAACAAACGCATTCACACCAACACAAACTTTATATTCTAGGGCCTAGGCCTCTGGTTGCTAGGCCTATGTTCACTGACCTCAGCCAAACAGTGCCTGTGGAATTCGTTGTGACTTCTTGTGATCAGATTCTGTGGTAATCTGGAGTATTGAGATTGTAGCACCCAATCGTAACAGGTAACAATTGATATTGATTACTTATTGACGACTATTGGTGAGCTTTCACACACAATTTTACTTTGCGATTGGGTGCGACTGGGTGTCGCAATTGCTACAACCGATCGCAATGCGATGCTAGTCTGAATGGGGTATTACAATAGTGGAATTTCCTCTTTTGCTTTGGAAGCCACCAGCACCTAGGTTGAATATGCTTCTAGTTGTTCATAAATGATTCAACACTTATCAATGCCACCTTGAAAGTGAGCATCCAATAACAATATTATATAATTACCCATTTTTCTTTTCACAGACAATTCCTAGAAATATTCTTATATTACAACAATCAGTAATGTAACTATTAAGGGTGAGTGCTATTCTTGGATGTACTGAAAAGCAATAAGCCTGTACTGTACAATTCTTTACAATAATTATGAATGCTATGTTCCTATATGAAAATAATCAAAAATACAATATTATTTAAATGTATATACATTCCAAACATACACCACTTAATGTTACATTTTATGGCGATATAAAAACACCACCATTACAAAATATTAACAAATCTGTATCAGTAGACTGATTTAAATAAACCATAATTCTCTTGTAAATTTATATATTAAGGTTTTGATGTTATAATATTAGTGAACACTTCAACAGCATGTCTCAATGACATTGGTCCCAATTTGTAGATTGACCGATGGTGGGCCTATTATCAGACCAAACTTCTGCGTGGTTGTGATTACTATGTAGTCTATGGCCAATTTATATTGGAAGAAAAGAAGCTATAATTATGATAAAAAATGAGTGTGAATAAGTTGGTGGTGTGTATTATAAAAAAAAAATAAAAAAAGGAAATAACAAAATCATTAACCGGAGAATTATGAACATGCATTCAAGAGTCATGCACATCACATTCTAACACTGAAAGTTTCTCTTTCAAAAACAATTTTAACATTAAATATGGCATGCTGTGATCACATCCCAAACCATCACATGATCATAACCTTGAAAACATGACCCTATTTTGTATGAGCACTAAAAAAGCACCAATGACAGCATGTTTATGTGATAGTGCTCGGTCAAATATCTTTGGAAGTATGGTAAACAGTAGAGCGGCTACATGTGTAATCCAGATGATCATATCGTTGAACAGTAACCTCCGCAGGCTTGACCTCCACCATTTTGACCTCCCTGTGTTATTACCAAGCCAGAGGAGCCTTCACTTTCCCATAGTCCAGGTGTTTGAATGATCTGAAATATGAAGAAAGAATCAACAAAGGTGCTAAAACAAAGAACAATTGACTTTAATAGACAGTTCATTACGTTTACACTAACAACGAAAATAGATTAAATAAAGGACAAGAGAAAGTATGGAAACATTTTAGATACAGAATACTGAATATGTATCTATTGGCAATAGTGATCACAGGTAAAAAAGAAATTGGTAAATTAATACAGTTTTATGTAATGTATTGTGAATAATTCATACAAGCCAAAATCAATATGCTACAGTACAACTGGACAACAGATATGAAAACCGGAGCAATTTTGACAATGATATGCAGTGACAACAACATTTTCCCAGAACATTAGTTTCTCTCTGACACTAGCAGATCATGGATACCTGAATGGCACCCACTTTTCACAGTCCAGTAGGAAAGTTCAACATTTGGTGTTATCAAAAAAATAAAAAGCAGTGAAATACATCCAAGGTGACTCACTAGAAACACAATGAGAGTCCTTGGCCTTTTTTTTGGGATCATAAATACCTTTTCTACTAGTTCTTCAAAGGCACACTGAACCCCATCTCTTGTTTTAGCACTAGCCTCGATAAACAGCATTGAATGTTTCTTAGCAAACTTCAAGCCTTCCTCTCGCGTCACCACTCTTTCATCCTTGTGCAAAAGGAAATGATATGAAATACAGTATTAAATTAAAAAAATATGTTATCAATGTATAGCATTGTCCTGATACTCTTCAGTGCAAACTATTGTGTCTCAAAAAATAAACTAACTTAATTTCTACTCCCTGTCCCTAACCATTTCTTATTATGTAAATGGGGGTTGAATAAATAAAATAAAATATTTTGAAGCACACTTTCAATGTTAAAGTACCTTGTCAATTTTGTTGCCTACTAGCATTTTGATGATATCGCCTTTAGTTGAGAAAGTTTCAAGTTCACTTAGCCATTGGCTTAATCGTTGAAATGTTGCTTTGTTATTTACATCGTAAACTGCAAAAAGAAGGCAATCGTTTACAATCATTACAAGGGATTGAATTAACATAATAAAGGTAATAGAATTTCACCACCATGGTCTTTGGTTCAAATCTGGTGTTTCTTTAAATTTAACCCAATTCAATTTCAATTCAATAAACATTTATTTGGGAATAATTTCATAATACAATAAATGGCAAGGGAGGCTATGAATTTGGAAGCCAAGCATTTTAACCACAAAGTCATAATTTACAGTACAGTATGTATTTTTCCAACAGTTAGTACCTGTATGTAATGATTTTCATACCTAGTATGCAGCCCTGCGCACCTCTGTAATAGCTTGGTGTTAGTGTACGGAATCGTTCTTGACCTGCAGTGTCCTGAAATATTATTTAAGAACAGTCCTAATCACTATGAAACAACAAGCATTACTAAAAATTAATATAAATTCACTGGAAATCCTGTCTACCTTTGTGATACATATCTTGCAAATGTTGCTAATCTAGCTTGAGTAATATTGGGCAAAGAGTTCCACACAAATTTACACATGAACTTTGGTCATACAGATAATAATTACAGTAGTTCACCATGTATGTATATTATCAATGTATCACATCGACATTGAGTACATTTTACAACTAACTATTATTAACTAAATCATTATACCATGATGAGTGTGAATTCTCGTGATACTCATGTATTCTTCCAGGTTTTGAACAAACTAAATACTGTAGATGTAGAAATATTTCTATATGGGAAGGTGCCGCATTTACGGGGTATATTTTCGAGGACTTTGTAGAACAAATGTGGGAAATAACGAGGGTGAAATTGGTAGTTAAAGTCCCTGACTTATTCTGTGCCAAAGTGCCATGATTTTCCACACAATGTTAGCTGGAATGTCAAGCTAGACTAGGTACAAAAGCCGGTAAGCCATTTGCTAAGCCTACTTTTGGTACAGCCACAAATTCGTGACCGGACGGAACACTTTTTGCAATCGGGAACCAGTAAATATTGTGACCTCTCTGGCACTATTGAGTGGCCTTTTTCCTGTCATCTTTTAGAGCACAGTGCGATTTTGGTAAAATGATAGTTCAAGTCCATAAGAATTTTCAGTAAGATAGGTTGCGTAAGTGTCTCATGTCTTGAAGTGGCTACGGCACCCCCCTGTTTGGTTGGTATGCAAGTGAGCTCCCCGGGTATTCAAATGAAAAATACAATTTTATAAAAAGAGTAGGGATTGACTCCAGATGTACTGACTATGGTATGTGTGCCACTGCAGGTACCCAAGGTGGCCTAATCCAAATTTGTATGTTGATTGCCAATAAATGAACCAGAAAACTCACCCATATTGCCAGCTTTGCTGTGTTACCAGTACCTTCAATCGCAAGAGTCTTTACTTTAAAATCAACACCTAAAAATTAACAATAAATATCAAGTCATCAAATGATAACAATGTATTTCAATATTCTGCTGTAACAGTTATAGTCAATTGCAAGAACTGAATCATACCTATAGTGGCTGGTTGATCTGGATCAAATGTGTCATCAGTGAAACGTAATAGTAAACTGTAAAACCAAAAAAATATATAAATTTGTATAAGCAGCGATGAAAAAGTGTTAAAATCTAGTTCAATAAGTAGCATTTTCATGTCAGACATTTCAAGACTTGCATCCTTACAGGAAATTATGCACACTGTATCTGTAAATATCTTTCACTTGTAAAAATCAGTGAAAAACAATATATAAACTGCTCTTGAATCATTCTGCTGAACTATAGCCTTTCTTTTTGGTGTTCTTATTAAAGGTAAAAAGATAACCTGTGGCTTGCAGTTGTATCTAGGCTGTAACTAGTCCAGGCATGGACTAACTCATTCAACAACTTTCTTCTCCGCTAAGAGCCACATCAGTCCAATCAGCTGCCAAGAGGCGTACTTTCGTCTGTCCAAAACCACACAGGCTGAATGGACCAGTACACTGATGTAACCAACCACCTACTCTTCTTGAAGGATGTACTGGGTTTTTAAAGTGCACACGAGCCAATAATGTACACTGGGCCTATGGTTAAAGTCCTTATCCGAGAAGATTTGTTCTACCAGCGCTGTTCGAACCAGCGCCAAAACTATGGCTGCAGGTTGCAGCGCCCCTGCCTTAACCGTTTGACCATTCGACTCACCTAATTAATTATCATTATTCAGAGGTGTATTTTGTTCTTTTACAGAAAGTAGCCAAAGGCTGAAATTTCCTCTTTAACGTGTTGGGAGAATATTTGAAAGTAGTGTAGACAAATTTATATAGCACTTTATATCGAAGTCTCAAGCGCTCGTACAGTTACTTCCTTCTCCTAAAAAATCGGCTACTGACCGTCGGCTGACAAATCCAACTCTGCTCCCTAAAATCGCTAGGCAACCCGACGCTGTCTCCTGATTGTCGGTGGAAGCCTTAACGGATCGTCATTAAAAAACTATTCATTGCGTAAGCCGTGGTTTTGCCTTCTCCATACAATCACGTCAACTGACAACCGTCAGACACAATGAGTGCTTGGCATAAGGGTCACTTTGTGTCTGAGCTACTTCGTAAAAACATATATGAATGCACTATTAATTAAAATGTGATATTGTATTAATTTTTTATGATGCAAGATAATTTTTGGAATAATAAAATTTGCATGAACCTACTCAGGATGAACGCCCAACCAAATGACTCCAAATGACTTAAACAACCCAGAGTGAAACAACTGGGTTAAAGAAGGATTCGGGGTATAAAAAAACAACCCAGTTATGTTAAAACGATAATTGAAAGAACTTGTCCGAATCATTTAGTTGCAAATTGACACTTGGGGCAAAACGTAGGCTTAGTAATCCTCAACCTTTGCCTGGATGGAACAACATCATAAAAGAATGCTGAAATAAATAAGCAGTGATTGCAGATTCTACACAATGGAATGACCTGATTTTTAATGAGGAGAGATGGCGCATCATCATTAGTCCTAGCCTAGTAGTAGTACTACTACTACTGTCTAGCCTAGTAAATTGTTTATAATCACAAACAAAATAGTCAAATGAAAGCTTATTATTTTACTAGGCCTAGATCAGCTAGGAGAAACTGTTATATGTTTTCTCCTAGCCTACCCAGCCCAAAATTATGATGTAAATTGTAAACAAAACAAAGATTCGCAACACTTACACTATAACAGATAACTTGAGAAAAAAAAAACAATAATAAATATCAATCAACTATACCTTGACTTTCCAACACCACTTTCACCAATTATCAATAATTTTAAAGTAGTTAATATATCTCCGTCACTCATATTTATACGATGACGAATTGAGAAGAATTTTTAATAATAATTAATAATTATATTACAAAACAACACAGTATGTTGACGTTTTCAAAACCAACTCTCTACTTAACACTTTTGCTGCTAGAAAAACAAAAGATGATGTCACCCTAAAATGACCTTTGTGTCAAATTAAAATTGTAATGAATAATAATAATTTACTTAACGGTAAATAGTAATATATAAATACGAATAAACCATATATATGTAAGTATATTTTTAAAGAAATTATTATGCCAAAGTATATTTAATATGCAGACCTAATATTTATATTAAAATTAAATTTGTTGACCCTTGGCCTAGGCGGCCTATCGTCGATATCGAGCGCAAATTTCGAAACGGCTCGTTGTTGATGTTTTTAGAGAAAAGAACAATATTAATATTATTTCAATAGACTGGCAGTCTTGTATGTAATAATATAAGGAATATAAGGATAAGGTAATGTAAATTGGATATCGTAAACACGTATTAGATTTATTGGATCACCGATTTATTAAGTTTTGTTTTAGGCCCGATAGTACTAGAGAGGCTTTAGGGCCTCTAGGCCTAGTAGTATAGTACGCCTAGGGTCTCTTTAGTCTAGGGCCTCTCTAGGCGGCCTAGGGCCTCTAGGCCGGATGCCAGTCAATTCGAGCGGATGCCAGTTCGAGTGGATGCATTTATTTAGTGCGAACTACATCAAGGGCGAATTAATGGTCGCCCTATTTTTGTATTTGTTTTAATAAATGCAAAAAATGTTCTGTGGCTGTGCACTACTGAAAATGTTTTTGGTACTTTTTGAAAAATTTTTGATAATTATTCCATGTTTGAATTACAGTCTTGGCAAATTATCCGACTAAAAAGATGGCTTCTAAATTAGGCCCTATATTTTAAAACTAAAGAATTTCGCACGTAAAATTCACGGTTTTTGTCTCCAGTTAGTTGAATGGGTGACAGACGATCGGGCACACGAGACGATCGGGCACAGACGATCGGCCCGTTTTTGGACGATCGGGCCTATATTGTGAAGATTGTAGTGCTTGGTTTATTGATAGTGGTGTTGTTGTTTTGCGTTGCGAGTGTACTTTCGTTTTCTTTAAGGAGTTGGGTAATGTTTTGAAAGTCTTTTAGTGCTGATTAGATATTGCTGCAGTTGTTGACTTCCTACCTTTTTTTTGCATTCTAGTTTGGTCCGTTTTCAGTGGGTGATTTGTGAGTGTGTTTCCATTTTATTGAGTCTGGTAGATTTTTTTTTTTTTTTTTTTTTTCATTGAGTTTGAATCCGTTTAAGTGAGTGGGTTACTGCTTTAGTTGTATTTTTATTTATTTTGTTTTCATTAGAGTCGCAGTGAGTGAGTTGTTGGTGTGTTGACATTGTATTGTGTGTGGGAGATCGGTGTAGTTAACTTTTCCAGGTTGTTTAATTGAGTTTTATCGCTGTTGAGTGCTGAAGTAACAAATTCATAGCACCGATTTTGATTGAATTGTCATTGTGCTGTTGGCAACTTTGTACTGACGTACCACAGTCACCAATTTGCAAGTCAATTCGAGTTATGTCGACTAAGGTAAGACTTTTTAAGATATTTACCATCGTCATTATATAACAAAGTTATAGCCTATTTTGATTAAACGTTGAAATAGCCTCTTACTGGTTTTAATATTTTTACATTTTTCAGTATTAACTAATACCACGTTTGGTGCTGCTTGTCTTGTTAATGTTCATTAGGTAATTAACCTATGTACTGCCCATCGTAACATCATATCGGGTTGACGTCTAAACATATATATCGAAATGTGATGAATCAAAAAAATGGATTATAGTTATTTATTTAAAATGTAGGCCTACATGCAAGCTCTTATAGCTTACTGTTTATTCTTAATATTTTTTTTTTTCTTCTTACAGAAAGGGCGAGTATGGTATGTGTGGTACAAACTGCGGGCTACGGTCCGTATGGTGCAGTCGATGTAAGTATTGGCATTACGCCCGATGCAAAAAACTCTGATCGTGATCTGGAAACCCTCGCAAGTATTCCCATGGAACACACTTGCTCAACGTGCTGTGATGAACCGTACAGCTATGCAGCACTAGGCAGACTGGGGTCTGCAAAAAGTAAATGTGTCCTAAGTGTAAAGATGGAAAAGATACTTATGAGAAACGATCAATTGGCAAGGGAACCCTTTGATGCGCGCCAAACCATTGCTGACGGAAGGCGGAAGACGTTTTGGCAAGGTAGGATGATTAATTATTTAAAAAAATAATAATTAAAGTTGATGAAAATTTCATTTTATAAATATCTACTATTACTAAAAATATCTAATATCTACTTGGGCCTATACCATTTACCATATTGCTTTTCTGTGTTTTTTCAGCCTCGTGAAGATTTTTTCCTTTTTTTCCCTACTGAGTTGGAATTTTTAAATAATAGTAGGCCTAAATATGTTTTTCTGTTTTCTCTAGATTTTATCCCCAGTGGAAAATGTCTAGCGGTTCGTGGCGACGGGAATTGCTTATTCAACGCACTTTCAGTGGCTCTCTATGGACACGAGGCTAGAAGTACCGAAATTCGAGTCAGGACTATCATAGAAATGGAGGAAAATCGCGCAGCGTATTTGCATACGCCCGCCAACTGTCGACTGCACTTAGTTTCACCTTGGTGTCCCAAGGTATGCTGAATAGACGGCAAAGGAAAAATGGGAAACTTAAGGCTCTGCATGACTTATGGATGTTATACTTTAATGGACAATTAAAAACAGAAAAATATCTCAATCTATGTGCTGAAGCATGTGATGATTGAATCTATTTACGAACAGAATAATTATTATGATGAGCAGAAACAAAAGGAAATAAAGACCAAACCAGTATAAGTTTGTCCTCATACTGTAGTTCTTATGTGATGTAGTTGATCCAAATTCAAATTATACTTCATTCCCTTAAAATGACATTTTGTTGCCTCGAAATGAATATAGTAATACAATTTGCGCCGACGATGGCACTGTGGGAGTATCATTATACAAATACTACAGTATTTCATTCCATGAAATAATATTTTTAGGTACGAAATGTTATTGAAGGAATAAAATAACATTACAAGGGAACGTAATGTTATTTCGAGGGAACAAAATATAGGCTGCTATTGAATGATCATCATTTAAATTGGCCCATATCTCAACCTTGTTTGGGATTACAGCTGTGTCATCTTAAGACAGGATTTTAAACACGCAATAAGACATCAATGAAATAACACTAACGTACACTGAATTATACTACATAATACCGTACATTCTATTTAATATTTGTCTAACA